TACAAAACTAAAAAGTTAAAGTTAAAGAACATTAAGAACTATTATTTTTATTTATAAAATCTCAAGAGAGTGTTTTATATTATATTGTGTTACGTTTTTTTTTAATTTATTACGCTATTTCATATTTACGGTATAGATTAAGGGGCTTGGTGATAAGACAAATTATGTCTTCTTCTTGCCCCTGCATAGGCAATATCATTTTTTCTACCAAAAGGTATCCATGTATTAACATTTTATACAGACTTTGAGGTACTTTGTACCAGGAACAACATTTAACAAAATATCTTGCAATTTTAAAACAATAATATCAAAGTTTTAAAATGTCAAACTCAAAACCACTGAAAATTAACAAAGTACACTAAATAAATCTTCATTTCAAAAAGGATCTTTAGCGTTCCCACCACCACCTGCTCTTGGTTGATCTACCATCAATCCAAAAAGCTTTATCCAAAAACCTTTTCTGATTTAAACTGTTTTGCTCCATTACTAAATTTTTGGCTTCAAAAGATCTTGCTTGCCAAGACTTAATTTTTATTTTATATGCAATAAGTAATAAGCATTCAAAGCATCAGCATGCAATTTTGAAGACCATACCGGAGAATCAAGTTGAAATTTTTTTAAATAACAATTTCAATTTCATTTATTTCTGATTGGCTACATACATTAAAACGTGACTGACTAGAACGTTGGATAAGGCAGTATGCACCTTTTCTCAATCATGATTTGGATATGGTTTGTAATAAATATTTTTCGAAAACAATGATAGATGGAATCAAATTTGCCATTTAGTAGTAGTAGTTTCATTTATTTCGCCGTTAAGAATATATACAATGTACAAGTATAACAAAAGAAAATGGATGGAGCAAAAAGAAGTCATAATAAGCCTTGTGACCAGGCCCCGTTATAAACGGATTTAACAAGTCTGTAGAATAGTTTCTTTATTCAACTCAAAACTCAGAGGTCTTTCTTTTTTAACTATGCTTGTAAATAGCTCTAAAGAAAAAACATAAGTAAAAAATAAATAATTTGCAATTAATAAGTTATGAAATCTGTTTTCTGATAATTTTTTGTTTATAAATTCTTTGACTAAATAAGCCCTCAACTTTGCAGTTTTGCGTTGCTTTATCAACAAAAGACTTTTCATGAATTGAGAACTGATTATTCCTGATACATTTGTATATTTCAAAACATTTCATTATACAGCTAAGAAAGTAAACAGTATAGTTCGAATGAAAATAAGTAACAATTTAAAATCAAAAGTAATCCTAACTTAAGTGAGAACCTTAGTGTTAGTTATTTTCAAACGAGGGAGAGTGTCGTAGAGCTTCTACACATGGTCAGTTCTCAAATTTAAGAATAAATATATTTTTATCATCCTGATTGTATCAAAATTAACAGAATTCATCAACAAATTTTTCAGCATTTTTAAATTACATCAATATCAAATATTAAAAACACCTTAAAGTGAAGGGGGGTTTTACAAAATGATTTCAGCTTTAGAGCTTGACAGTGCTCAAAGTTGCAAGAAGTAGCTGAAGTAGCAGTAGCAAGTAGCAGCCAAAACTAATTTTACCTCATAGTAAACATGTTAATCATTTGTTGCATATACTTAAAAATGTGTTTGCTTAAGTTCCAAAAAGTGTTAGGTTATATATATACCTCTCTGATAATTGTAATAAAAATATTTTTACCCATTATTTTAGACAACAGAAAAAAAAAGGTAAGATACATTTATATTTTGTTTTTATTGGAAGAAAGTATTTTTATCATCCAGGCCTCAATCCCTGCTGCCTTTCAAAGTGTGCTCTTCTTATGCAAAGGCTAGGAGAAATAAACTCCGACTAAAAATTCCCCTGCCTTGGGGCTCTTGGTTGAATAAAGGCTTAAGATGGTGTCTTGATAAAAACACTCATATTGGGCAGATGTTAACTGCATCCAGCTACTGTCTTGTAAAAAGCCTCCTAGGCAAAGACTTTAGGGGTAAGCAGAAAAATTCTGCTAACCAGCCTCGAACCCCTTTTTCATCTATTAGGCTGGCGTAGATGTAACCTGTGTTACATTGTTTCCTGCCTAGGATGATGAATGCTGGATCTCCTTGAATCTACTCATAGAATTTTGTTTATACCTCCTAGATAATGGCTATGCAACTCTTCCTATTATCTCCATATGAGGGTACAGCTCTTAAACTCAGTTTAATGGTTCTGAGACCGGCTGGTAGAAAGGTTTCCCAAACTCTGTGGTAGCTCTCAGAGAGGCTGATTACATCAACAGCTGCAAAATATCAGAGTATTAACAGTGCCATGTTGCGCATGGATGGTGTCCCTCTTAATACTTTTGGTGTGCATTGTCAAGGCCGCATAAGGAGCCCTATGTCACGGCTTAGGGTTAATTAACAGGACTGAGACAACTACATAGCTCATTAATTAGGAGGCTGTGCTCTATCTATTAATGAGTCAAGTTCTCATTAAACTCAAATTATGACCAAAGTAACCAAAAATTTAAAACCTAAAAAACCATCCCCACATCCTGAATATTTTAATATATCTTTTACAAATATTCGAGGTCTACATAGCAATTTTCCATCAGTTGAGTCTTACCTCCTGCAAAATTCACCAGGCTTGCTTGCACTCAGTGAAACAAATTTAAATTCTGCAATTCCTTCTTCAGATATCAGTGTTGATGGGTACTATCCTTTGATTCGTAAAGACTCAAACAGTCACATGCTAGGTTTAGGGGTATACAAACGCATTAATTCCCCTATTTGTCGTGAAAACAGGTTCGAATCCTTTGACCATTCTTTTATGTGCTTTCGCCTAGCACCTCTTCACTTTATCACCTTTCTCTTTGTTCTTTATCGTTCTCCATCTTCCCATGATTGCCCTCTCTTAGATGTTATCTCTGATCAAATTTACCATGCCCTCTCTTTTTACCCCTCTGCCAATATTGTTGTTGTTGGTGATTTTAATGCCCATCACACTGAATGGCTTGACTCTAACACTACTGATCCTGCTGGCACTAAAGCCTTTAACTTCTGCTTTTCTCAATCTCTTACTTAGATAGTTAACTTTGTGACTCATTTTCTTGACAACCCTAATCATTTACCTTCACTCCTTGACTTATGTCTTGT